TATTATTATTATTATTATTATTATTATTATTATTGAAGTATACAATTTTCCCAGCAAACAGAGACATAGCAATATTTAGCCGTCTATTTGTCTCATTAGCTGTTCATCGGACACAGCTAACTTTGCTGTAAATGATGACGAGCCCATAAGTGCTCTTTGAACAATTGTCAGGCTATTTGTCTTGATTGCGGACACAAGCCAGCCAGGAGCCGCCCGCATAACCGACTCGAACTCAAGACTTTCCATCATACTCCAAGAAGAGGGCTGTTTTTAGACAGTGACCGAAGTGCGCGGTAAAAGGAGGGCGCAAAACATGCCATAAAATGACTCGCCTTTGCCAGACGCTTGCCCTCGTCGTTGCTCACGATCTGGGTCCTGTCGCTTTCCAAAAGGACCAGATCCTGTTTGTTGGCCAGAAAGAGAAGCACGATGTCTCCGTTTGTCCCGTCCTCTACATCGAAGAGCCAGCTGCGCAGGTGAAGGAAGCTTTTTTCATGCATGCAATCGTATGTTACCACAACAGCATCGGCCTTGCGAAAGTAGGACTTGGTGAAGGAGCGGAAACTGATAGAGGGGGAATACAGAGGAACAAGCTAACTAACAAATGGAGAGAAGCACTTGATATTCAGCAGATTTGCCTTAAATAAATCCAAAGAGCAGGTATAAAGTCCGTAGGTTTTGAGCTATGCTTTTGATGAACACTTAACTGGAACAAGTCCATAAACAATGTTGACGTCGGAGAATGTGGGACAGATTGCAATCAGGAGGCACAGTATGAAGTGCTTTTTGGATATGATGAAGAAGCTATTCATACTTAGGCCCCGCGATGTCGTCCACAGGCCCAGAACTAAATAGTACATAGAATAATCTGTGGCGTATTTGCGACGAGGCCTATCACAAGCGAGACGAGAGTTCTGCACAATCCCTTCGAGTTTGCAAGCTGCTCGGCAAGTCATGACAACAAAGCCCACTCTATTTTTGTCAAGATACTCTAGTTTGGTATGATATTATAGGCAGTGATAGCGATTACCCCGCGAAAGACTAATGAATGATTTCCTCCTGAAAAGCTGATCTCATCTGAACAGGAGTGTGATTTTAGCTTTATCCCTTCGTCTCGTTATGACCTCTGGCAGGAGGTATCTTAGAGACATTATTAAACGCGTATTTGAATTATCCATCTCAATTTTAAAATATATTTTACAGGATTATGTAGAAATGCGTCATGAAGTGTCTCAAGTAATACAGACCTAATACGTTAGGTAACCAATTTTATCGCAGAGTTTCCAGGTCTTCTAGGTCTGCCAATTAGTTCAGACATATCTTGCTATCGTAAGAGTACTTTTTCCTATGAAAACTGTGGCTTCTTTTTCATCCAAGCTTTCTTCATCAGCATCCTCGACATGAATCGGGTCAAGATACAGTGTTAATGCTAATACGTTGTCACTTTTCAAGATTTTGCAAGACACGTCTATTATTTCATGACCCATGGTAACCACAAGGACAAGTAATTAAAAAAAATAGTACTTCCAATCGAAGGTATGAAGACCAAGATGGGGTAGCCTTTTGTGGGGTTGCAGTCTCCTTTAGCTGTATAGAAGTTGTTTGACCTTGTTTTCGCAACTCGGTCATAGTGGTAGGAAGACTTAGAGGAACGCACCTTGTCCGGAGTCCATTGTAAGCATAATCATTTTTAAAGTCGGACCGTGGACGGGGTACATTCCCAGACGTTTCGCCGGCATCGTAGTCAGAATCGTCAAGTCTCTTTGACCAGTTGTAATATGGTACTACGATTGGTGAGACTCACTGACGATGCCGACTACGATGCCAGCGAAACGTCTGGGAATGTACCCCGTCCACGGTCCTATTCTGAAAATGATGATGCATACAATGGACTCCAGACTAGGTGCGTTCCTCTAAGTCTTCCTACCAAATTGTACTTCTAGTTTTAGTTGGTTACATTGAGAGGCCCTAAAATGTTCGTTTATTAGTTATTTTAGCCTTACTAGAAAATATTTCAGTAATCTATAGCAGTAGGCCACATCTTGATCCTTTCTAAGAATCATAAGCATTTAAACATTCCGTATTAAGGCTTACACCCTAATGCACTGGCATATATTCACACACACATTCACACACGCCCATACTTATCATTACACAGAGGTCTAGTACGTAAAAAAAGCTGGAAACCATCAGCAAGCCGCATAAGTTCTGCCCCGAAAACCGAGGTAGTCCTAAAGGAATCCTCAGACAAATGTCCAGAAGGCAAAAGACCACCATTTTTTGGCTTCCTCTGAGGTCTTCAGGCCCTCGATTCTATGTAAGTTTTTAGGCGAAACGAGGGTCCCGGCAATATACACTATCAGCATGTCCAGAATCTAGTAATAACTCCTGTGGGCAGATATGATGATTTCAAGGCTTATTGATGGAGCAGTGAAGGCAACAAAGAAGAGAATAATTCAGTGCCCAAAAGAAGCATCTTCACTCCATATTGGGCAGCTCTGATATGGGCAGTTATAGGTATGAAGGTAGAGATGGTTGGGCTTCTGGTTTGGTCGCAGTTCTTTCCGATGTGTAGAGGTAGTCCGACATCATTTTCACAACTTGATCGTTTGTCAGGGCGACCCAGCTAGATGCACCTGACCCTATGCCTATGTTCTCTACTATATTAGCTATAATAATTTAAATAATTGGGTCGTGGACTTGGTACATTTTAGGAAATTTTAGCTGCATCGTATTCGGTCTCATTACTGATTCTTGTCATTATTACCACCAAGTTACAACTCGTCACAGAGACAAATGAACTCAATCTCTTGGCCAAGTTTCTGCTAAACTTGGTACATCTATACACTCCCTATCCCCATAACTCATTACCTTCCGATCACAAATTCTGATGTGGTTGTATCCAAAGCCTCTGGAGATGTGTCTTTTGGAGCGACTTTATGGTCGCATCATAACACCCACTGTTTACCTTGTTTCCTCCCTCTCTGTCTCGATTTTCCGGAATTACAGCATCTCGAGCGAATTTCTAGTCACTTTGACTCCGACCTATTAGCCGTAATTCCGAATTCCTGTGACGGTCGTGTCTATATGCCTCCGTGTTCCTGTGACTTCCAAGCCCCTATATGTTGTAGTCGTTTCTTCAAGCAGACTACACTTAATGAAAACGTCTTCTCGTGTTTTAAGAATGTTTCTCCTTCGCTTCTGATTGGAAATCACTTTTTCTCTAGTTACCGATAGGTCGTTGATCCAGGCATCACCTTTTGGCTGGTCTTGCTGCATCCTTCTTTTCTCCAAAGGTGTCGAATGCAAGCATATCAGAAATTATGATCGGAAGATAGTGTGATACGAGGATAATGGATAGGTGGATGTACCAGGCTGGAAGGAGTAGTGATAACAAAACAGTTTGGCAGAAACTTGGTCAAGATATCGACCTTACTTGTCTTTTTGACGAGTTGTAACTCGGTGCTAATTATGGCAAGAATCTGTGACCAGGACGACTATGACGCCAGTAAAATTTTCTGGAATGTACAAAGTTCACGGTCCAATGCTTGGAATTATCACAACCAATATAGTAGAGGATATTGGATCAGGTGCGTCCTAAGGTGTCATCCTCCCAAACGACCAAGTTACGAAGACAAGATCAGACTATTCCTACAGGCACTTATGTTGCAAAAGCGACCCACTATAGCCTTACTTCTGATCTAAATTAACTAATCACTTCATGCTCCATTATGTCTACATTTATGTTGTCGTGAATTTTCCCACATGG